TTTACAACCTTTCTGCTGCCTGATGTACAATACAGTGATATACAACAGGATCTGGTAGAGCACAAGCACTTTGTTGTTCAGCTAAGCAATTTGCTTGGATCCTTAGAGGAACCCACTTCAGTCTTCTCCTTCTGTGATAAAAAGTATCTGTTGCCTTAGAAAAGGTCCTTTTGTGCTGTAAATGGCACTGCAGAGTAGATGAAATGGAAGCCATCTGAACCTTGTATCTGCAGTGAAATGAATCATTTTATCCTATGTTTCTTAATGCTGCTTACTACCATAGTCTCAGCGTAGCCTACAATCACAGATGAGTTTCCCTTCTCAGCTGCCTGACAATATTTTGCAAACTTCATAATTATTTAGCTCAGTATTTAGAGAAGCCATCTCTAAATTTAGTCCTAATTATCTAAGTACCTCACCTGAGATGCTCAAGTCTTATAACTACCAGATACTTGTGACTTCCTCTGGCTTCAGCTGTACTGACTAATTATCATCTATGAAAAGAGAGCCAGGTTGTCTGAGGCTGGGAGCCCAAAACAAGGAATGTATTATTAGTAGCCCATTGTGATTGCTTTCTTAGTATAAAACAAAAATCCACAAAGTTTCAGTCTGGAATCAATTTCTACCATAGACTGCATTGATCCTAACTTTGCTAAGTTTATAGCTGTTGAAATTCTTATTGCTAACCTCATCCTTTGAAACAATGCATGTCGTTCTTTCTTTTATATATACACAAGCTGCATGGTGAAAATAGTACTGCAATCCCTTCCAAAAGACAGGATGTGCCAGGCAAGCTGAATTCTTACATATGCTGTATATGTCAGTATGATAGTCTTCACATGTATAACATCAAAAAAGTTCCCAAAAAACTCCAGAGAATTCCTCTGATTGACATTTGTTTTCATACTGGGCAAACAAAAATCAACAAATATATTTTAAGAAAGATTGGCTCTGCATTTACATTTAAACCAATGTAAAGAATCAGAAAAATTTGGACTTTGCCTTTGAGGAATACCAGAATAATACTCTACGATGTAGAATATATTACTTCCATAAAAAGGCATTTGATTAGAGATTATAAATGCTTGACTGTAAATGGAACTTTTCTCATAGGACATGACTGACAGGTAGTGAACATTAACTTTCATGTCTTTTTTTCTTTTCCTTTTTCACCATCATGCAACAAATACTTGAGTGCCTGGGAGATACAATCTGGTTTCTGGATGGTCTCATATTAGAGTTCAGGAGAACTAGAGTATTGTGCAGAAATATTTCCCACCTCCCCCCTCCCTGCCAAGCCCTCCTATGTCCCAGAAACTTGTTAGGTTCGATGAAAGCTCATTTGAATGCCTAACTTGTCTGTGCCCAGTACTGTGTTGAACACAGTGACTCTGGGAAGCTAGAAGCACACTTTGTTGGGTTGCAGCCAAGGCATGCCTTGGGCTGTGCTGAACCTGATCCTAAGGGGTAGGACTGACTCCTGCCAAAAACATCAGCTTCCATGTCCTTTTTCCTTTGAAGACTAATTACACAAGCCTATTTATTCTACTTGAGCCTTAGCACTTTGGGTCTGCTAGGAGGAAGAGATTCCTTGAATGCATCCCCTGGGCCCATACTAGGTCTTCCATTTGCTCTGTGTGGTGCTATGCCAGAGGCAACAACCCCACACAGAGCACTGGGGAAGTACAGAAAAGCATTGGTAGTTGGTTCATGCGAGCCAGATGAGGACAACTGCTAGTAAACTGGAGTTCATAAAGCCTTTTTGTTTCCTGGCAAAGAGACTGGTTCTTCTTTGCTCTACATTTTCTCTGAGCAGCTATACCCCCTTCATGCAGGGCATGCCTGCACCCCTTTCTCTTTGATCTGTAGATTACTTTCTAGAAGGTGTGGCTTCATAATCTGATTTTAGTTATCCAATTAGGTAGTGCTAAGAATCTGCATCTTAAGATACCTACATTTCTCTGCAAGCTGTTACAGAGAATTTAGGCTCTTGAATGAAGGTATGTTATTATGTATCAAGCAGTCAAACTGGTTGAAAATAGATGTTACATGTGCTCTTTGATGCCCAGAAGAATGGAGATTGAATCACAGTTATGATTTATTACCCAGAAATTTACTTCAAGAAACAATTAACACAGAACATCCTAAGTTGGAAAGGACCCACAAGGATCATTGAGCCCAGCTCCTGGCTCCACAAAGGACCACCCGAAATTTAAATCCTACGTCTGAGAGCGTTGCCCAAATGTTCTCTGAACTGTGGCACCTCATGGCCATGACTGCTGCCCCTGGACAGCCTGTTTGTGCCCACCAACTTATAGTGCAGAAACTTTCTCTAATACCCAACTGGATCCTCACCTGACAGAGCTCCAAGTCATTAATGTTGGAAAAGAATGAATTGTTGAAAAGAAATTTGACTTCTGGCTTACTGTTCTCCTTTCTGCAGTTTTAATTCAGTTCAAAATAAGTAAAGAGAGAATTATTTCAGAGCAACCGAAGAGCTTCATATGGGCAAGGATGTCAGTGAAGAATTCTCTTACAGCATCTGGTAACAAAGAGAAGTAAATGGCTGCACCAATTCCTGGTGTGCAGTACCTTACGATACTGTTATTAGAGAATAAGTAAATGACAAAGTTGAAGTGGTTGCAACTAATGTCTGGAAATTTACAGAAATGAAGGCTTTGACAGATGCTCCTACGGCCAAACACTGAAAGATCTTGAGACAAGAAAAAATCATAGACATTACTGTCTCTTTTTGAATTAAGAGAGTATGTTTGTATTCTTGGTAACAGTAAAGCACTGAAGCAACCTACTGGAGGGCCTAAAGGAACTCATATGTTGAAGATCAGCTGGGGAATTGCAGATCTAATGATGATAGACATATCCAGGGAGGTAGCAAGAGTGGCACTGAAGCTGAGGAGCAGTATAAGCAAAGAAAAAAATGCCTTGTTTTTCTTAGATTTGCTAAGTCTATGTTTGGACACGTTCCTTGGACTTATAAGAAAGTTAGTAAACTTTCCTTCTCTGAAGTCTTTATGTAGTTTTATTACTTATTTCAGTGGTTTACTCTTCAATATTATCTCTTTGCCTTCTTATTAAACTCACATTCATTCAGGCCTCTTTGACCTCTGGAGGTACTCCTCATGCCTTATGCTTTCATTTCCCAGGTTTCAGACAGGGAGGTTTAAAGCACAGGTGTTTTTAAGCTTTCAAAATAAGCTGCTAGTGCTTGTACTGACTTCCTTTCCAGCACTAGTGAGTATAATCAAGTTATGATTGCTACTGCCTAGGCAACCGAAAACTTCCAGTTCGTCATTATCTCTCATAATGAGATCTAAATCAGAATTAACTACTGCATGAGCAGTACAACACCTTTTGCACTGAATTATTACTCTGCATTTTTAGGAACTCTTACTAAAGTCTTGCACAGAATGTTCCCCTCCTTGCACTTGGTCTTAGAGAAGATCTGTGTGGCTACAGCACAGTGTTACCCTGAGCTGTATTTGATGATGCAGTACTTTCCCCTGAATTTGTGAGTGCTTTCCTGGCTGTGTGGTTTTGTGGCTGAATCCAGCATCACTGAAATCAGTACAAAGATTTTATGACTAGTGGGAGTTTGATCCTACCTGGCATTCTGGAAGCCAGGTAGTCAAAAATATACAAAAAATTTACAGGTAATTTGAAATAACTCATAATGCCTACTAATCTAACACATAGCTGAATTAATCTGACAGGGAAATAAGTTTCTTTCTGATGAAATGTCAGTGTTAAGTCCTTTTGCAATACTACTTTATGGCTTTACACGCACATTTTTTTACCTCTCTACAAGTTTTCCTTGTTCACTTGATCATTACTTACACAAACAGATGCAGTATACTAAGGGCAACTTTGATGGCAAATGTGCCTCACTTGGATACCCAATCAGGAAGCTACAGCAGCATACTGGAGAAGACGGATGGAATGAAGCTCTGAAGAAAACAATATGGGGGCAGTAGTAATGTTGGTGAAGATTAGCCGTGATTCAAATGAATAATGTGTTTAGTGAGCATTCACTGGGGAGTGTACGTGAAGATATCAAAAGACATCAGGAACATGTCTTAATTTCTTCATTTGCTGTAAATCTTTGCTATTTACATCCTTGCTGCAATTTGTAGCTTATTCCCCTACTCCAGCAGTGATGATAGAGACAAGGGAAAATCCCTTAGGATAAAATTTACTTTAGCTCAGGATTAAGGAAGGGGGTTGTTGCCTTACAGCTTGTTGTTATGGTGGTAGGAATAGATCTGTCTGTACACACTTTCTGCAGCAGTTGACTTCCACTCAGTTATCCACATCTACATCAGTATAAGGGGAGATAAGTAACTGAATGGGAACATCTATGAATGCATTTCAAATTTCAAGCATATGCTTTTTCAGTTTCAGGAGCAGCTAGATCTAGAACTGCAGGTGAGATGAGACGGCTCACTGCCTGCAGTCCCTAAGACAGGAAAAAAAATCTGTTTTTGAAATGCTGTGTTCATCTTCAAAGGCAGAAGACACATTCTAAAATTGAACCTAGGAGTGCCAGGAACCCAGGGCCTGGAAATCTAGTTTCAGCTGTAGATGATGAAATTTCAAGGAATAATGAGGCTATATGTAATGAGGAGAGCTGGGGGTGGTGGGAATCAATCTGACAGAAGATTAGAGATGTGAAGGGAACAGGGGAACAGTGTTGGAGGGGAAGGCACAGGGATGGATAGAAATACCAGGAGCCAGGGTGGAGAGGGATAGTTGGTAAGAAGTTCTCTAACTGTCATCTTTCCCAGTGAAACACTTATCCCCTGTAAGGTTTTCTTCACTTGAAAGGTGTGCTTCATCCTTGCTGTATGCTCCTGGCACTTGGTCCTTCTGAGTAGCAGCACAGATGCTTCATTTCTTATAGTTTTACTCAGAGCACTGCAAGACTTGCACAGCTGCAGTTAAGACAGCACAAAGGGAATGGTGCAGGCACACTCTTCATCTGAATCATATGTCACAGTGCAGAGGAAGCCTCTGCACCACTTGTGATATCATCAGTCCCTGCTCCAATGGTCAAGGGTGCCTTAGGATTTAGTTTGCTTTGTGAGACTTTTTTAGTTTGTTTGGTGCTTTTGAGAACAGGTGGGAATGTGAGGTGGCAGCTGGATAAAGATGTGTAGACCTATTGCCATGCAGCTTGTTGGAGGAAGCTGCAGCTAGGAGCCTCTGCAGTGCCATGGAGCCCAGCCCTGAGCAACATAACCAGGAAGGTACCAAGTGTCTTCCATCAGACCCTCCAGTGGCTCAAGGGTGAGTTTTTTTCATCAACTAGAGGCCAGATAATCCTTCTACCCACCACAAGAACACGTATTTAAAAAACAATATCGCCAAAACCAAAATTTTTTCTTCTGGAGTCTTTTCAGTTAGGTGAAGCAAGCATTAACTGACAATGAAATTTTTGTTTCTTGAGGGCTTTTACCATCTGCTCTTAATGACCCTTTTGACAGCCTTGTAGAGAATTCTGACTGAGTGGGACATGAAAGAGCAAGACTGCATGAACTTTTCATGCATTACACTTTTCAAGTACTGTTCAAGTACCTCATAGATGGCAAAAGCGATATGCCTGCTGGCATTCCTCTGCAAAAAAAAATAATGGAAACTCTTTAAATATCTATCAAGGATCATCTTTGGATAGAATCTCCCTAGCAACAAGTTACAAGCAGAATACTTTCTGGTAAAAGACCGTCAAATAATGTGTTGGGGGGAAAAAGTTAAGTAATGAGACCACTGTTGTTGATCCAGTAGTTGATCACTGAAGATGAATTGCGCTGACTGGAAGGTAAGACACACAAAACTTTAGAAGTTTGAGTTCAGAAGTACAGTCAACACATGTTTTTCCTGCAGAGTTAGTATACATGACATCTGAGTCTCAATCAAAATGTGAACTTTTAACTTCTCCCAAGAGTATGGGTATTTTTTTTGCTTTCTGTCAAGGACCCTTGGGATTGATGTCCTAAAATAGGCTAAACAAACTGTTATGTTTTTTAACTGATTATAGAGATCTTTCATTATGTACAAACTAATAAAATCCCAAATACCAAACATTGCAATAGCCAGCCAAGTGCTTTCTGTCTGCTCCAACCAAACACTTTCAGTTTTATTTACTGAAGGTACTGAATGATGGTAGTTATGTTCTGTGCTCTGAACTCAATGGTTCATCTGAGCAGCAGCGTACAACATGGGTATTTGTAGAAGCAAAATCTGTATTTTGGATTGATAGCATTTGCAGTGAAAATTACTAGAATCCCTGACAACTGACAAAAAATCAGCTTATCCTGTCTGGATCTTATGGTCAGAATTAAATCTGTTTTGCTATCTCCGTTTTAAGCAGGAATGAGGACTTTAGTCCAGTCATGACAGTGATGTGATTGCAGCCTTATTTTCACGTGCAATGTGGCATCATGAGATTCATGTTCCTGTGCCAAGTCCTCAGGCTGGAGCCCAGGAATATCCCTTTTCCTCTGTTCTGTCAAGATCCATCTCAGAAAGAGAAAAAAAACTGTTAAATCTTGAAAATTACTAAATGGCTTATGGTCTAGTTTCCATTTACAGTTTGATACAATCTGAATGGCAAGCACTGTATACTGATGATAAGTGGTCTCTTCTCAGGGTGCTGTAGGGGATGTCTGTGATTTTCAACCTGAAGTCCCTGCTTGCAGTTATAAGGTCAGTCTATCTTTACAAATTTTGTCTTTGTGTTTATTTATACATTTCCAGCTAGTCATTGATTTTATAATGGCAGTGCAATGGGAGTAAGTGCCTGCCATTACCACATGCTTATTGTTTTCCTGAAGCCTAACCAAGTGAAAAGAAAGCAATCTAGCAAAATGACAGTCCTCCCTTCTCAGATGATACATTGGCTGTCCCTCCTCTTTTGGAGCTAGTTGCATCTTTTTGGCCTTCAGCAAAAACATGGAAGACTTTCTTTGGACTTAAAAGTATGTCATCTCTCTCTTGAGACCAGGTACTTTTGGAAAGGGTTCTTTTTCCCTTTAACAAGAAGGTTCAAGCAATAACAGGAAAAAATATCCAACATCTTTAGTGATACCTTGGATTTCAAGACTCTTGTGTTCAATTGCCTGAATTGCTAACTACTTCCTCTACAACCCTCAGTGAGAAACTTAGGCTAGAATCCAACTTACATTTAGATGTTCTAGTTTCTGCAGTTATCAAGGGTCTCACCACAGGCACGGGGGAGAGATAAACATGTCTAGAAGGTGAAACCTTCTAAGACTTACCCTTCAGAATCTTCAGTTCCCCATCCACAAACTGCACTTTGCTGAGTCAGAAATGTATTCTGAGGGTTAAATGCATTGAAGAATGTAAGACATTTGCACTTTGACACTACAGCTGTGTCAGTTTTGAAGACAGACCACATGGAGACTTCGCACTAAAAATGGTCAGAAAATGGTAACAGTGTGATAGAAAATGGAGTCTGGCTTGGCCTTTGCTTTTAACAATTCCTTAGGCATTTGTGATGACGGAAGGTATGGAAGATATGATGATGAAGATATGGCTGGAAGGACAGTAATTATTTATTCCAACTAAAGAAGAACTGACGTCATGTTTCTTCTTAGAAACATTCTCTTTTAGAGTACACTCAAGTAGAACACTAAAAAAGAAAGCAAATAGAGGTGCCAGCTGATCTTAAGCACTAGTGAGGGTTTACAACAGTGAGCAATAAGTGAGCGAGCTGAGTAGGAAGTAAGCAGAGTGTAGAGTGAACAACAGCTCTTCACTAGGAAGACAAGCACATTCCAGCATAACAACCTGATAGAAAAGTGTACTCTTAATTTGGAGGGAATGTCGTCATTGAAGTTTGCCTAAGAAATAAGTACTCAAAGCTCACGGGCTGACTTCATCGAAGCATGTCACCCATTAACCCCACTCCCACCCCCAGGTGCTTTGTACATCATGATATCTTTCCCCTCTGGATATTAGGGAGAAGGATTTTCTGTGTATTTGTTAGTGATAAGTGATCTTACACCAAAACTATAATTAGAAAGCCATTTTATGTCTCATTTTTTCATGCTTGTATAGTCTTTTTTACGGATTATGGTATTTGTTTCTGATTATTTTTCTTTTTTTTTTCTTTTTTTCAAGTTGATAATAGTTTCTATTATGGATTCCTGTATAAATTTTCATTGCTCATTCTGTTTCAGGTCCTGAATCTTGATCCGTGGCTTCTCCTCACTATGGATTGATCTTCAAAGATCAATTTTACTGTGGAGGATGGAAACATTCTGTAATGGGAACGGGGCTCTGAATAGCAGTGTCTTACAATGAAACCCCATAATTCTCCCTGAGTTCAGAGGCCGACAAACTATAACTGGCCACAGAGAAATGCTGTTAGTAGCCATGTGGGGCATGAATCATAGAATCACCAATGTTGGAAAAGAGCTACAAGATCATCTGCCTATCACCAATAATTCTCACTAAACCATGTCCCTCAACAGAATGTCTAAACGTTCCTTGACCATTCCCAATGTCAGTGACTCCATCACAAACCTCCTTGGTCACTCATCTGTTGGGCAAGGAAGAAGAATGAGTTGAATCACTGAAACTGACAGATCCAAATCCAAAGATTACATATGTTAAGGTTAAACAGCACTTATTCTGAAGCTTTCTGCTTTGCCAGAGTAAATCATTGTATTCTTCGGCATTCCCTCACAGTAACTATCAGAAATGCTGTATATCTGTCACATGTAATACCTTCTGGTAGGGAAAAATAGGGAGATAGTCAACAAATGGCTAGCAGGAGAGACAAAGTCCTAATTTATATGACCTTCAGTTGTCTTGGTCACAAGGCAGAGTCTGGCAGAGATGCCCTCATGCTATTCCCAGTCTCTGCTGTGAACATAATCAGAGGTCATGCCATGAACTCTGCTGAATTTGGAGCTCTGCTGGTATTTGTTATTCCAGCAAACAGTATACTTGCCAGGCCAATGAATTAAGTAGCTCTGGGATAAAGTTGCAACAGATGAGGCTCATTAGCTCATTGTGAAATAAACAGAATGTTATGGAATAGCACCTTATTAGAAAAGGACCAACATTCCTTTTGTCCCTGCAAGTAGAATTCTCAGATAATGACATAATTTTACCAAGTCTTCCTACTCCCTGCTTCCAAAACTTATAGGTGCATAATTGCTTTGAAGTTCTTGTTCTTTAACAAGTTATGAGAGGTTGGTTTGCTTAGACATAGCTGTCAGGTCAACTTCTATTGCTTACGAAGTAAAGTAGGAAAAAGAACGAGCATTTCATTTTTATTCTTCTGAGCCACATTTCACTTTCAATCCAGACTTCTTGAAACAGAAGAGATAATCTTCATCCTTCTTAAGGATGTAGATTTTCTTGGGAAAAAGATAAAAGCTCTACATTAATAGAGGGAAGTATGCTGTTCTACTCTCTTTGGCTGCCTACAAATGGCTGTGACATTGCTAAATAAATAGCCAGTATTTGTACAAATAAGAAAAACGCCTCTCTGAAAAGTCCAAGGCATTAAGAAATGTGTTGGGAATTTGGAGGAAATATCTTTTTTCAGTAATAAACATGGGAGGTAGTTTAGGGATGGGGAGAAAGAAAGATGGACACTTTAAAAGAGTTGAAAATCAGTAAGAATTATATCAGCATAGCAAAGGAAACTTTCCAGCCTAATGACTAGAGGCGCTTCCAAAACATCCACAGATACCTATGTATTAGCTGGAAGGTAGCAGAAGAGTAAGCATGAACTGAATTAGCAGGATTTGGGGATGGAAGAAACAAAAGGCTTGCCTAGATAACATAAATAAGAACTTAACATGGGGAAAAAATATAAGGATTGCACCAGATTTGTACTTCGGAGTGTAGTGATACAACATTTAGAATATAAAGAACGAGTGCACACATTTGAATGCTGCTGAGGGTCTAGGAAATACATAGGGAGGATAAGTGATCATCATTATTGAGAGGCAAATTAACTCTCTTCTCTGAGCAACATGAAGATGATCAAGGTTATTATAGCAGGGGAAAGGACTAAGTGATTCAGTGCATCTGCTCTACTGCTATCACTAAAAAACAAATCATTCTTGTCTGTTCTAATCAAATGTAATTAGGTAAAAAATGAGCAAGTGAGTATACTTCAGGCTTAGGCTGCCAGCATTGGATTTTGATTTAGACTTGATTTTGCAGTTTTATCAGCTTCACATGCCTTGAAAGAGGCCATTTCAGTTTGTGACCCAGGACACTCTGCAGCTGTTTATCATTCCCTTTTTAGCAAAAACACGAGGTCTATGAATAAAACAGCAAAAGGAAACAAGATTGAAACTGTAACTAATAATACTCATTAGCCTATTTTGCTATTAATCAAAGTACTGTTTAACAGTAATCTTTATTTATTTTTTGCTTCGCTTAATGACAAATGTTCCCACTAAGATCAGCTTTTATTTGTGTAATAACAACCAAAATCATGATTTTGCGGGAGAAAGGATTATGATGAATATAATCCAAGGGGAACAGATGCAGATTAAACTCAACTGTATGCAATATGGCAGTATATTCATAAACCTAGCTCTTCTGATGATCAAGTTGACTGGGGAGACTTGACCACTATTAAGTGAATGAAACTAGCTCAAAAGCCGCCTTTTTCTTTTTGCCCTAGACCCAAAGCCATGTGATTTCATTGTTTGTCACAATGCTTTGATTCTCAGACACTGGGAAAGGTATTAGAGCTGATGCTTGGAACAGAACCCAGTAGACTGTGGATATGGAAAATGTTGCCAAGCCAAAAGTCCTGTAAATATTTAAATCATTAATTAAGTGATAATTAAGCATGCACCTTCATGCAGTGGCCTTCCTCCAGTAGGAGAAAAATGACAATTCACTCAGCCCTGAAATGTCTGATGCGAAATTGGTAGGCACTGAGGAGCTTCAGCAGAATTGAGCTGAATAGCTGAGTGACTCCCAGAAAGGTAGGCACTTTGACTGCAGCAGGTTCACCAAACAGACCGCAAGAGAAGCTCACATTCTGCAACTGGGATTTCAGATTTCATGATTCCAGGGCAGCCAGATCCAATATATGGGAGAGAAGAGCAGCATTTCCTCCCCTGCTCACTGAAGATTCAGGCTTGGGATCTTGGCAGCAAAACTAAGCTGACAACAGATGTTCACATAGGCAGTTTTTGAATAAAATTCTTGGAATTTTAAAGAATTCTAAAACAAATTCAGAACATTTTATTTTGGTCTAAAGCAAAACAAAGAAAAACAAAAAGGAGTAAAAAACAAGCAAGCTAACAAACAAAAAATCCATCAATACAAAACAAGAAAAAAAAAAACCCACCACAAGTATTCCCAGTGAACTGAAATTCTCCCTTTTGGTCAGCTCAGAAATAGGACAAATAGGAAAACAAAGTCCAAAGACAAAATAGGGGAATCTCCTACTACAGTCAGCTTCTTCATTCAGAGGGAACGAAGAAGTTTGATAAAAGCAAAGTGAAAGACAAGAACAAGGACGATAATGTAAGTATTAATGCATCTAAGGAAATTGTTAAGAAGATGGTGAGTAATTTTGGTGAAAGCCAATGTTGACACACAAAGAAGTGGATTTTTGCAGGCCATGAATAGCTTTAAATTGAAAGGAGGAGAATATGCCTAAGCATTAGGGCAGCTTAGTTCTAATGCCCAAAATCTCAACTCTGTGTTGCATAAGATGGAGTGGAAGAATGTTTGATTTATTCAGATGACACAGCAGCTGGAAATAAGTGGACCAGCCCCTGTATATTAACTGCATTCAACCCACTCTTCCTGTGCAACCAAGATGCTGGGAGTCAATGGTGTCTCATGCCACCCAGCTGTCGGCGTGTATCTAGGTTATATATCTCACTTGATGGGTTTCACTTTCAAGCAGTCATTCAGAATTTTCCTTCCATTTCTGTTTTTGCTGTCTCTGTAAGCTTCATTAAAATTGGTACGTCTGGGGAAAAATAAATATAAGTCAAAACACACGTGTAGATTTACAACCACCACAATATTTTGCTGGACTACTGAAATATGTACATACTAAAAAACAGTGAAGAAATTCTTGTCCTGCCTGCCCCAACCATCCTACCCAGCTGTATGTTTCTCTGGCTTTCTTTACAACAAATACAAGAAGAAATAGTCTGTTTGTATTTGTAGTCTGGAAGTCCTGGTCCTTTCGACAGCTATGAAATATTGTTCATTTGATAGGTCTCCAAAATTGCAAACTTCCCCTACAGTTCCCTGCCTTTTCAAAAATTAATGACTTCTTTCATATTTTAAATTAAGCTTCAAGAAGCCAAGAGAAATGCTCTAGCAGCACTTCTGTACTGATGCTTTATCCAGGCATGGATTGCTGTGGGAGGGAAAGCAGAGACAAATAAAACTTTAATCCTGTGTCCCTGGCATGCGATGGAGATTGTGGCCTCTTCCCCATGTTGGGACTGTATCTGCTGGGGGGTGAGAACTGAAAAATGCTTCCAGGTAATAAAAGGAAAAGATTAAATTTATGAAAACAGGAAACAGCAGTTCTGTGACAGTTTCTTAGAAAGGGAAGTGCATGTAATCATGCCATGCAGTGCGAATATAATATAGCACACATGAAGTCATGAGTGTGATCACTGTGTTGGAAGTAGGTGTTCTTAGTTAGTGTGTAGGCAAGTAGCACATGTCCCTTAGCATTACAGGGCCCCGCTCTTGGCTATGTCACATGCCTTAAGGGATTATTTCTGTGCACCTATTTCTAGATGTGCCTTGTGTCAGAGGTTTCGCTGGCTGGATATCTGAGCATTTGTTTACAAGTGTCAGGATTGATGAAATGTTATCAAGTGCAGTTAAAGGGAACTGGGAGGGACACATCTGCTGATGCTTCACCGTGGCTAGAACTGTTTTAAATAGTAATAATAATAATAATAATAATAATAACAACAATAGTAACAATCACACTAGCTAAATGTCACTGCCATTGTGCTGAAGGCATTTAAATTGTTTTTGCAAATGAATTCAGAGCTGGAATCCGAAGTGCTTTGTCTCAAGTCAGTAATGATAAATAAAAGTACAATTTGAGAACATCATCACCACAGAGTACAGAAATGTGCAGCTGACAAAGAATTATAATTATGACTTGCTTTCCCTGTTTGGTTTTTTATTCTTTCTGCATATTTGGTCAAGAACATACAAATCAGAGAAAGAACAGGAAAAAAGCACTCCACTATCAGATTAAATTTTAAATACATATTACTCTGTATCTGTTCCTCTGTATTACTTGACATGTATGAGATCATTTCAAGTACATAAAGCATTATTTGAAAATATTTTATTAAAAAAATAATAATGCATGGGGGTAGGAGTATTTTTGACAAGCCAAGAAAAAGTGCAAGGAAATGCAGGAAATTACAAGAGGAGTAGGAAAACCTAAACCATAACCACAAAAATGACCTCGTTGGCAAAACATAGAATTATTAGCACAGTAATTTACTTAATAGGGCTTTTTACTATTAAAGGGTATAGTTTTGTACTGGTGCTGAATTCCAAGGGAAAGAGGAAGTCAGGCCCAATGAAAGTCTCTGGGTAATGGTGAAGAACAAAAGGACAGATCCACTATAATTGC